AACGTCCGAGGTCACAGCTGGAGGGGCTGTGTTGCATGCAAGTAAGTGTATTTGAAAATTTGCGCAGGGTCCAAACACTCTGAGTCAACTACAGTCTCATCACGGGGATAAAACCACTAAGGCAGCTGCTGAGTTTCCTGAAGTGTCTCCAGTGATGTAACGAGAAGCCACGAGGAGAACATATAAAGAATATCTATACAATGAATTATAAGGAGTAAATGCCATGGGAACTTCTGCTTCCCATATCTCCTAGTAAATGAGGGGAGACACATTTGAGATGAAAAGGCCACAAAGACTTCAGAGGGATAAAATGTTATTTTTTTTTAATAGACTGTATGAACTGAACCGTGGAACTTATTGCCTTATGACATTACTAAAGGATATACAGCTGCCACAAATTCATAAATTTTTGAACAACACTATTATAGGAACTATGATACTGTCTATGACATTATGGCACCAAGAATAAATGCTTCTTGTTCCACAAGCTACTGATTTTCAGAGAGTCCTGTAAAACATGGCATTGAAAAATGCCAGGACTTGTACTCTACAGAAAGAACTTGGTCATAGTGACCCCAGCCTACCCCTCTGTCCCAGGCAGGAACAACTGTGCATATCAGTTTTGAGGAAACTACTATCTTCTCCTAACTCAGCATTTCTTGTGCTTGGTTTTCTCAAGTCACAGCAGAAAACATGGCAAAAGAAGGAAACTGTAATAGCTGGCTGTGGGCTCTGCAGTGTCCTCCCAGTCACATTATCATGACATTAATGTCTCACAGCTATCACAACTACTGATATGAGACATACCCACAAATTTATAGATTGTTTCTGTGGGAGATACCATGTCTTCTCCGTATCTTTTTACTTATGTCAATGCAAGGCTTTTAAAATGAGAACTTCTCCATCCAAATTGGAGTCTCCTGCTGCAAAGGATACAAATTTATAGATCATTTCTGTGGGAGATACTATGTCTTCTCCGTATCTTTTTACTTATGTCAGTGCAAGGCTTTTAAAATGAGAACGTCCCATCCAAATTGGAGTCTCCTGCTGCAAAGGAAGGTAAGCACACAGTTTTCCACAGGAGTTTGCCGACCAGAGAAGAACAAGGAATATCTGAGGTGCCAGCACTAGTTTGGAGGGTTGTGTGTTTGCTGTAGTTTCTTGCAGACACATTTGTCTCTCTTCCTCTCCTTCCCCACACCAGGTCCTTTTTGTTCACAGCCTCTTCAGTCAGTCTTTCTCAGCATGTCATTTTGGTCCTAGTCTCAATCCTTATCATTCACTTGTTGTCTACTCCCTGTTCTGACTCCTTTGCTTGTCAGTGTCTCTTCTCTTTTTGATCTTCCTGGCTCACCTCCCTAAGTGCCTGAAATGCAGGATGAACACAGGTGCTCAGGGCCCCAGTCCTCTGCCCAGGCTCCAGGTGGGGGATGCTCTGTTCAGGACCACTGAAGATGAAAGATGCTCCTTCACTCAGTGGATCTTGAGTTTTGTCATCGTTCATTCCAAGTAGAGATTTTTTTTTTCAGAGACTGTAAAATCACAAGACTTAGATGGTATTTCATAGACATGGCAAAAATTATAAGTTTGGCTACCACAATCCAAATCTTCATCCCAAAGTCTGGAGAAATTGAAGCTCTTCAGGAGAAAAAGTTTTGTTCTTTTTTTTTTAAATTGGTTCCACCTCCCCCCTGCTTTTTTTTTTTCCCTAGATTATCAAAACCCATACATGTATCTAGCTTTCTTCTGAGGAAGGCTGAACCTTTTTTTTTTCATATGAAAATATTGAAGCCTGAAACTATCCACCTGTTGTGGATAATTTCCAGCTAAACAGCTCAGGTTTCATAGAATCATTTTTAAAGTGCTAACCTATTCCTTCACTGTAATTAAGCTGTACCCTCTGTGTCCATACACATTTATTCATATTTTGCAGTCATGCATCCAGTATACTGATCCAGTCCTGGAAATGCACACCCTGATTCCTTTTCCAAACAACCATGTTCTTACTAATTGAAAATAAAAGAAGAGAATATGGGAGATCAATCATTTGGATACACACCAGGATAAACATCAGAGGTATTTCACTGAATTTCTGGCCTCTGGCATTATCCACTATATAATTCCACCTATGTTACTTTTTTCCGGATCAGCTGCTTAACAAATTAGTGGAAAATAACTAGCAAGAAATTGAAGGGAAAGTAAAAGCATAATGTCTGGGAAAATATAAAAGACGACCGTGAAGTGCTAAAAAATATAGAACAAAGAGTTTTCAAAGCAGCAATTTAAGTGACCAAATCAGTCTTCCTTCCCTTAGTTTTCTGTTAATCTACTGAGGAGTCAGCCACAAAGTTCAGATGTAAGAACTAGCCAGGTTAATACATTTGTCATTCCATTATTTCACACCCTTTTCAAGAAGCACCCTCTAGTTGACATGCAACTTTTTAGCAAACTAATTTCATTCTTTTCCAAAACATCCCAGCATTTTTCGCAAGGCTCCCTCCTCTACAGAAATGCCCTCCCCTCCTACAGAAATTGTGGAGGACAATTTCCATTTCCAAGATGGAAATGTCCTCCACTTGGAGGACAAGCCATCAGTGGAGATGTCCTTATAAATGATTCTCCAAATGGTCCTGTGGGAAGAGAATGCCATTTGACATAAATTGCAAAATAAACTCCTTTTATCGATTCAACAGGCTTCCAGAGAATAAAGGGTCCATACCACCCTGTGACAACTCTGGTTCACTTGAAACTTCTCTGCCAGGTGCCTCTGCTACACGGCCCATGGTCTCACAAGGGCAGCTCACATGAAGGATTCACCATTTTCTAGGACAGCAGACCAAAAGAACTCCACCAAGGCCACTGTTGTCCTTGGAAACAAAAATATCTAAGAAGAGACAGTGTTTTCTCCCTTCTGCTCCCCCCTCCTTTCTAAGCCACCACCTTCCTCTCTCTGATGCCAAAGCAGCATTGTAGTGTGGTCCAGCACAACATTTTTTCCTGTGTTTTGGGTTGTGGGTTTTTTTTGTAGTCCACAAGACAGCCTAATGAAGGGAGGCCCACATGAAAGAAAAACCAATAGACTAAAATAATGAGTCTGGCTCAGAAGGACAAGAAACATTTTTACACATCATAGCCAGTTTGCTAGCCCTTGTGCAATACTCCAAGTTGTGATATATGATTTATTAATTTGTTTTTCTATTCATTTGCATTTCGTATAACAAGACAAATTTAAAAAAAAACCTGACAGAACACTAATTTATTTCATAAAGGATTTGCAGAAGACTTAACAAGCCCTCATTTTGTGCAGAAATACAAACATTGTGTCACTAAACGACACCGCTTCTGGAAAAGAAAACGCTGCAAACTCTTAGCCCTAAGACACGCACATCTTAAAAGGCTCCGTCTTGAACCGAGTTCTCCTATTAGCCTGCACTGAACTGCATGCAGAATCACGCTAGCTGAAGATCATTTTTAAGAGGCTTTGAAGGCTTGGAAATGCTCTGCATGTTGAATATTTTTAGTGTGTAACTCCCGGGAAGGCTCAGTGTAAGGCCGCCCTCTGACGGCAACCAATTCCCACAGCCAGCGCGGGGAGCGGCACAGCGGGACAGGCTACACAGAGTCCCCGAGGCAGGAGAAACATGTCAGAGCTGGTCTCTTCTGTCCAACAGAGTGTGGGCATCAGCATACGCAACCTCGACCTTTCCAACGTCAAGTCGGAAACAGTTGCTGCGCTCTGACTTCTCTGCCAAGATGACAAAAGTGTCATTTCCTCATCGTCTACACGTCGCGCTGGGGTTTCGCTGCACTTCGTTATCGCACTCGGCAGAATTTGGCACTGGGTCGGGATTCTCTACCTCTCCTTTCGTACGCCGGGGTTGTGTAAATTCTGGCCTTGTTGAAGGGCTGCAATAAACGTCTTAATGGCCTTGTATCTCTCATGGTTTGAAACACTCTCTAGGGTGCTGCAACAGAATAGTGCAGAGCAGTATCTCACCTGCTCTCATAACCCCTTTTTCCTTTCCATTCTCACCTTACCCCGGTCATATCTATCAGGGAGGACTACTACAGAATTACTCTGTTAGTCCTACACAAGGTAAGAGAAAACAGCACAGCACGGTGCTGCTGGACCAGTATAAAAGAGACTGCAATTCAGAGCAGAATCTGTTTCTGCGACTGCATGTTACACAATGACACGATTCTCAGTCATTCCTGACAAAAACTATACAAATTCAAAAACCATCAGCTTTTATCTGAGTTGGGTTTTAAGTCCTAGAACATTGAATACATATCAGTATCACTTTGAAACAGCAGCAGGTAGATATGTCACGCAGTTGTTTTGCTGCTTGCTGCCTAGAAAGTGTGTTACTCAGACGACTGGACTATAGCTGCAGCTGCAACTTCAGGAGAGTAAATCTAATTTTTCATAAAGACATCAAGTAGTCAATTATTTTGGAACAAAATGTACTTTAGAACTAGCTTCAGGACACCATAATTAAAGCCTGAGTGAGGCAGGAATCAGTATAATCATCTTCTCATACTATTATTTAACATACAATACCTGTTTTGAAACTCTGCACCGTGCTTGAGTTGCTTGCCATTTTGAAGGTTCACACTTTCAAAGAAGCTAAACTGACAGCATCTAGCCCATAAATGGCTAGCACGTCCTTATGAACCCCTCCTACAAAGTCAGACAATCTACTCAAAGGCCAATTCATGTACTTCTATTTGTTGCTGCTAAGCAGAGTGGGCTGGCAACTACAAACCCAGAATTCCGGATTACTTCCATCCCTGTTGCATGTGGATGAGTGTGGAAAAAGAAACAGAGTTGAGAGTACTTAGAAACAGGATGATTTGGATACTGATTTTACAATCAGAATTATTTCCCTTGCATTGCATTACCATACTACTTTGCTGCTGGAAGATGTTTCGTGTGCACCTGTACACAGTAGATGCTCTGGTAGTAATTGAAGTAAGTGAAGTCAAAGAAGGTGGCTTACCTTGTGTTGTCCCGTCTAGTCCCATGAGACATTTCATTGCCCTGATGATCTGCTCTGCTACGGGTGGACACATAGATGTGGCGTACACAGCACTGTGAGAATGAGTTCGTAAAAAGTCCACAAGGTCCTTACACAAGCAAAACAAAGCATGAATGAGCTTTGAGACGGCCAAACAGCAGATTTCCCTCTTAACTACTGCAGGAGTGAGAACACGCAAAAGGAAGAGGATGTTTCACCAGTTATCAGTTTGCTTTCTTGGCCGCTGCGGTTAACACATGGCCTGAAGAAACATCAGGCAGGTGGGAACACTTCACCATGTAAGTGGGGCAATTTCAGCTGAAATGCAAAGTCTGGAATAAAATAATATTTACTTCTGTGCTAAGACTTATTATAAAAGAGTCAAAATCATTTAAAGACCAATAAACAGCTGCACTTAAAATACTACTCTGCTCCTCTCTGGGAACAAAGCAAAGCCTACATGACATCAGTATAGTTCCTCTGCCACAAGACCTAATCCAGGAAAAGCAACCTTATTGGGATCTATCTTTGGCTATTAGCATACAAATTTCTTCCAAATTGAAATTTTCCATCAGTGTGGCAGAGACAGTCACATTAAAGTTGGTGTAGTTGCTTAAACATTTCCTTGTATAACTAAAAGCACAGTCTGTGCTCCTAAAAAAAAGCACTGATGTACTGTAGGCATGGCTAAAGCACCAGTAACTCTCCTGAATCCAGGGACACTGCTGGAATTCAGCGCTTGATGAAGACCATCGCTGTTACGACAGCTTATACTTCCTAGTGCAAAACAGCAGAGTAACAGTTACCACACTAAAAGCTGGATGCATGTTAGTGAGAAAGGGATGAGACCTGATTGAAAGCTGCCTTTGATAAAAAACACCACCAGAAAAAAACCCAAAGACAGTAACACGAATTACTGCCAAAAAAGCTGTGGTAACTCTAATGCTAAGGACAAAGATCTACCTAACCTTATACGGTTGTGCATTGCTATATTGCAATCATAATCCTAAGGGTTTGACCAAATAGCTGAGAAGGCTTCTGCACTCTAGCAGATGCAGAATAAACAGTGCCACAGGGATTTTTTGGCTGCAGAAATTAACGTAAGTGTGCTAAGTATGTCGGATGAGCAGCTGCCACCAAGGCCCGAAAGCCTGAGGCAAAACTTAGTGATACGCACAGAAGTGAAAAGAGCAACTCACTTCCATTGGAGAAAACTTGCAAGGATTAGATGATGAATTACTTCAGGCTGCTTTGCACAGGTCTGGGCTTCCTATAATTTCTAGCTACATTAGCCACATTGTCTTTGGTACGAGTTAAACTTTCTGGTACAAATTCACAAAGCAAAGGAAACAAAGAAAATTGATTCTTGATGTATATTACCATAGCCTGTTTTAAGATCTCCAAGGGCAAAACCAAAAGAGTCAGTAAAAAGGACACACTTCATACTTTCTTGTAGCCCTTGTATTCTACTCAAGTGCTACCCTTATTAATGTTATCCTGACAACAACCATGTAGGCCGTCTAAGCAGGCTTCCGGCTCATTCAGCAAACTACTTAAGAAATACATTCGGCAGGATCTGAGAAGGGTAAATAATCAGCAATCACTTGATATATCTGTCAAACAACAAAACCGATGACATTTCACAACGGTGCTGATTAGGCTTTCTCTTGTTCTGCACCCCCAGTTAAAAAAGCTCTACTTTTTGTTAACATCTGCTGTTGGCAAGAGGTGGTTTTGTTAATGTACGCAGAGCAACTGAGGACACGGGTTTTCCTATTGCAAAAGGCCCTCACAACTCTTTTTCTCCATCCTCCTAAAAAATGCAACTATGACAATCCACAACTGTTTAGTAATTTTATTATCAGTGGATGAAACTGTGGCTTTAATCTCCCAACGTTGCTCCACACACTGTTTACAAATGTGAAACAAAGTAATGAGCAATCTGCATGCAAATTAACGTCGTGAAGTATGTTTAGCCAACGTGTCTAAACATTTCCAAGAGAAACAACAATCACCAGGGTGGCACAGAAATACCCAACCCAAGCAAATTACATAACATGAACATGAGACAAAAATAAGAAAGTCTGACTGTTTGATGTGCATTTGGGATCCAGACAAAAACGCTGCTAACTTTAGAATAGTCCTCCTGCAAAACAGTCTACGAGAAAAGATAAATGAAATACGTCATGCATAATGAGAAGGTACTTCCCCCCACCTTGATGCTAAAATGTTTGCGTCTTCCTTTTACCTTTCTGCCAGCTATGTATCCTCCAGCTGCGCCAAAGCTCTTTGTGAACGTTCCCATTAACACATCAACATCGTCAGGACTCATACCGAAGTATTCCACAACCCCTCGGCCCGTTGCGCCCACTGCGCCGATGCTGTGAGCTTCATCCAAGTAGAGGTAGGCTTTGTATTTCTTCTTCAAGGAGACTATCTCTGGCAGGCGCACGATGGACCCTTCCATGCTGCAGATGGAGAGAATCATGGATGAACAACCAATCCTGTACTCTCGCTTTTTAAGATACTGACAGAAAATAGAGGCATTAATTGCCTTACTCCATGAAAGATCTTCTGGAACCTCAATTTTTATCTACAGTTCAAAGAAAAATTGCAACCCTTTCCCATCTGCAGTGAGAATAAAAGTCAGTTTTAGAATTCAAACAATCAAAACCAGTCAAAAAGTGTTTGAACACTCGCAAATTTTCAACGTGCCAGAAAAGAGAAGGAAAGGTATGAAGTGAGCGGGAGATACTCACACAAAGCAGCACATTACAATTCATTACAAAACAAATACTATAATGAATTATAAGGCACTGCTGTAATTCAGTCTGGTCCTTGCTTCATCGTCAGCTACTGTGGCAATATTTGGGATTAACAGCTCTAGAACAAATTACCCCGGTGCAAAGTAGTTGGGTCTGACGTGCACAGGAGATGGGCCACCTGAAATGCACAGATGGTGCCATCACTCAAAGCAGCTTCGGTCTTCAGAGTGGACAGAATCAGGGATTAGAAAAGGGAGCTCCAACCTTCCCCTGACATTTTTTCCTCCCAATATGTACTTTTTAGGAATTGCAGCCATGCAGGAAAAGGAAATATTCTGAACTTGCACTAATGGTGTATTGAGATTTGTAGAAATAAGAATTTCTTCTGTATTGTTGGTAATGATGTCAGAAAGTTGGAAGGCACAGAGGAGCCGTACAGCAACATGAAAGCCCAGAGAGACAACTAAGAAACACACTCTAACCTCTTAAAGATGAAGTATCAATAGTATTGCTGTGAAGATTATTACGTCTTGAAAACCTTTCTGGGATGACTATGGCTATGCCTGGATATGCTTTGATGCACTCAGTATTCATTTCATAATGAGTTAAACATGTTCTCTTACACCAGCTCTAGTGAGCAGGTCTTTAAATGCTAAATACTTCCTATCAAAAACAAAGTGAGCGCACTGTGTGCCAGGAAAACCAGTGCTCCGTGGCTAAGGCCCGCGGCTAAGGTATATCTGATTGCAAATGCCACAGGAGTTTCAGGTAAGCAGAAATGTCAAGCTTGTTCCCAAAGAGGATGTACAAAAGAGCAGCACAATCAACACAACTTCTTGGCAATTTTTAGATTCTGGACCAGTGGCTTTCACAGATTGCTTTCACAGATTGCTTTCCCAGCTCTAGCTGCACTGTGCAGCTGGAAGTTTGGTACCACAAAAGGAGCAGGATGTGCTTTTGGCACTTGGGAAATTTCTGACAATTTTAGTCCTCTTTCATCCTTTGGTCTCCTGAGTAAGCTTGGAAACAGCTTGGTCTCCAGTTTTGAAGGAGGCTTGCCCATAGGCAAGCCTCCATTAGTTTGAAAGAACACTATGGGGGAGCAGCCATGGACAAGGGTTGCCTGTGCTGTTCATACCGGGAGGTTTGGAGAGCCTGGCTATGTGTGCCTGGAGGCATATTTTTGTCTGTCAGGTGACTACTGGCAAATCTTGCCCTTTTGTCTTGCCCAGCTGTAGAAGAGGCAGCTGTGGAGCTGTGTATCAGCACCACGGTCTCCTGCAGCAAAGAAGGGTGGGCTTGTACCGCGAATTCCCAAAGGCTGGGCTTTCTCACTTTTCCCAAATGGCACTTGGCAGCTGGGGGAGAAGCAATTTGAAAGAGCGCAGCTATTTTCCTAATGACTACAAGGACAGAGCCCACAGTCCTCACACAGCCCAGAGTCAATGCATTAGTCAGCTAAAAATTATCCCGAGTCACCAGCTGTGCTCAGGCATGCAGCATCGTACGTGCTGGGGACGGCGGCTTTTGGTTGCCTGTAGGTTGGCTTTATGGTCAGAGAGCAACAGTGGTTCCAAGGAGCACCTCTGCAGAGGGAAGCAAATAGGCATCCCACCCCTCCACGTTCCTGCAGACCAGCTAGGCAGAGAAGGACAATAATAGTTTTTCCACATTTACATGGACATCATTAGGCTTAGTGGCTCATGGACATTCAGATGGGAGACAGTTTCTCTTCAAAAAGACAAGAGCAAAAGCAGTAAATTAAAAATGCAGAGCTTGATTTGCTGCATATTTGTGGAATAGAAGCAAAGTTGTTGCTGAATCTCCGAATACACAGAGCTGGTACATGACTGTTGCAAGATTTAACCACTAAGACGATTTAATGAAAACTTTTCTTACTAGCATGAGTAGGAGATTTCTCTTTGAACTCTAAGCTGTTTGGCAAAACAATGCCCTTGTGTGCAGTTTCCGTGCTGACGTACTGCTCTTGAAAGATGCTGGCTGACACAAACGTTACAACAGCTGACAGAGACCCTCACATGGCCTTGAAGTGTCCATGGAGTAGATGAAGCGCTGCTGATTTCGTGTACATTTTCTGCGCTGCCATTCAAACACGCCTCAGCCCTCCCGATGGCAGAGATGAGAGCTGTTTTGCTGCCTACTCTGTTCTTGGTCTCTCTTTTGACCCTGGGAGATGGTTTGTGATATGAACACCGCTCTGTTTAGAACTGCTCCAAGATAAAGCTCACTTCACATAACCCCTTGGGTAGCCCAAATGGAAAGTTTACTGAATCCTTCAGTAAATATTGATGACAAGTGAGTTTAAACCAGAGAGCCAGAAGTGACCTGTAATTGTGCTGTCTCAGTTGGGTTGTGTCACTTTTACAAAGCTATTGATCTCTTTCCAGATCTGCTCAAGCACACAGGGCACATGCAAAAAGCTGGATGCAGATGAACAAAAGCTGGCTCTGCCCAGGCCACACGTTCTCATCATGTGGTACTACATCCTGTCTTGTAGCAAGAATTGTTAGCTTGATGGCAGGGATGTAAAGCTTCTAGACTGCAGCTGACCTTCATCTCCCTTGTTCAGTGGGCAGGCACAAAAGCTTGCTTCAGTACACGCTCCGTTTCAATCTACTTCCAGATGTGAGGAGACAATCCAAAATTTTGGGATCACTAAATTTTGAAGCTTGATTCAATCCCTACCAAACCACTGAGATTCTTTCTGATGCAGCTGATGAATTGTGGAGCCAGGTACTTTGAGAGACAGGAGGTGTGTACTTGTGCTGGTCACTTTGCTTGGAACACAGGCTCGCTCTTGACAAGATACTGACAGTTTTTGTCCGGTTTATTTTGGAACTTCTTGGGGAAAAGAGTTTTCTACATCATACTATGGTACCACGGTTTCAATTCTTGTTTTCTGTCAGGAAAATTAATGTACCGATATTGAACCTATTATCTTCTTCACAGTTGCATCACTCAACATCTCTAAACATACATGCCCTATAGTACCATTATCCTTTTAACATTTGAAAACTTCATCTGTTCCCCTTTTAGGCTAGTTTGTAACTGGGAAAATCCTTCCTTTCCTGACCTGTTACTCCCAAGACATATGCATTTCATTTTAATGTTTATTTTAGGTATTGTTTTCTTACATGAACCTTGCACATTCATACAACAATCTCTGTTTTGTAGTTTAGAGCAACAGTTTTAAGGAAACCTTCCAACCTTGCCCTGAAATACAACCCCATACATTGAAATGATAGAAACATTAACCTTTAGTGCTGGTCCCTGGCCAAAGACATTCAATGTTACCCCATTCCTTTCTGGAAGTCCAGTCACTTAATCCCAGGAAATAAAAAATAACCCTGATAAATTTCCTACGGTATTGACATTGAAGCCCAAGGAACTTCTATCGCACATGAAAAGGCACCGGACAGTATCTAACTTATCAGAGAGCTATTTTCTGAGCTGGAAGGGAAAATACCCAAATTAAATTAAAAGCAGGGAAAGAAAAAAATCAAAACCTGTCTGTTTTGATCAGTTTCTTATGCCCCATAACTCCTGCCCTGGGCCTTGGCCTACCTGACTCCTAGGTAAATATGTGTGCAAGAGAGCAGAAGCCTACCACAAACCATGTAAGAACACAGTAACTGATTAATCCTGAACTGGAAATGGTAGAAGCCAAGGAAAACATTAGCTGGAATTTAAATAATAGAAATATGATTTAGCAAGTCAGTTTAACTTATGCCCTAGACACTGCCAAAATTTGTTCATGCTTTTTGTACTGAAGATTGATGGCTAGATGGTCTCTCTCAGCTTGGAATGCAAATGGAACATATTTGCTCCTAGGCTAGTCCAACTCAAGAACCAGCTTTCACTAGTAGTTACATTTTCTTCTGATGATTTTTTTTCTTTTTAATATAATAGAGACATTAAAAATCAAACAAATATATACTCATTGCTGTTTATTTCACATGTAGCTTGAGTGCTCCCCAAGTCGAGAGGCCAGTTCTGCCTTAGGTTGCAACCAAGCAAAATCTGTGGCTTATGGTTTCAAATGCAAGTCTGATTTCCAGAAATGCTTGTGTTGGCTAAGAATGACCCTTTTCAATTTTGCCATCTGGTAAGTTTGGGCTCATACACAGTGTAAACACTTTAACATACTCCTAATGGAAACAGAAGGCAATTTTTTTTCCATACCATCAACTTCACCATACTAAGACTATGGTGCCCCATATAACAATATTTTTTTAAAGAAGAAAAGCTTAGTGTTTCTTTTGCATCGCTGGAAAAAACATTTCTGTAAAAATTGGCCAAGGCAAACTTGCAAGTCAAGATATTTTTACTTGGACAATGGTTCTGACCGAGTTATTTAAATTCTGTATTAGTTGTCCCTGAAGCATAACTTAAGTCCTTTAAGAAAAAAAAAAAAAAAGGCAGCATTAACTATTGCAAGAAGAATTCATTAACAACACTCTACCTCCTCCTAAAATCTTTAGATGAATGTTAATTTGGCGTCTGGCAAATCTTCAAGAAAACTAACATTAGCCAATATGGGATTGGAAAATTTTGGTCTATTTCAAAAATCATGGGCCAAGAAAGGAAAGAACATGCACACCAAAAAAGTAAGAGTCTTTCTAACACGTCTTTCTCCAGCTTTTCTTTTGCAAACAAAATGTTACTAGCTACTTACTGGATTAGACTCCACAGCCTGTGAGTCTGCTGCCAGCAGCGCTGTAAGGACAGATCAGCTGCGTGCATCTTGGGTTGGCAGTGATGGCAGGGATACGACACCGTGGGGTGTGGTGATACTCTCAAGTTAGAGCAGACTTGCTTTGCAACCAAACCACAATCTTCAATTTCGGATCTTCTTAGACTATGAAAACAACTAACCAACCAACCTAGCTACTGCTAGGGCTAGTTTCCAATAAGAGACTATTAGAGAGCTGAGCTTTGTTTTTCTTTTATTTGATGCCTTTCACAAGCACAGACACTCAGGGCATGAGTGCCCTTAACATTATTTAGCCCTTATGGCACTGAAGGAACTTTATGGTTCCTTTTTAGTGAGGTTCTCTGAGGTTTAACACATTTTTATTTTGCATTCCAACAGAAGGTTCTTCGAACTTTTGAGAACGAAATTCCATTTGAAAATGAACTGCAAAACTGGAGGAAAAGAAAACTCTATATCAAATAAACATCTTGAAATAGAGTTATTATAGTTGTAAATATCTGACAGTGGGTTTGTCCCGCTGCTCGGACCCATCTATGCTTTTGTGTCACCAGTCTACCTTCTCACTCCGTAGTGGTCAATATCCAGGGTAAAGGATTCAAAAGTGAACAAAGCTCAGCAGCTGGAGCGTTTTCTGCAGGCCCTGTGACCGATAGGAATATTTGTCAGTAAAATGTTGGTGGTCCACTTAATTTCTGCATGATCAAAGTCCTTAAATCTGAGCTTTCTTTTGGTAGTGCCAAGCTATGTTTATTTGCAGTTCTGCTCTGTTTATTCTGGTTGAAAGGAGACATTCAGCCTGCTTTGAATCAGCTGATCTGCTGTCGACCTGTTTCAGCTCTGAGTGAGAGGTGTTTAGATAAGGACTGATTTGTTCTCTTTGCAGATGGAAAATGTTAAGTAAAAAGAAAGCACTGACAACTATGATGTTGTGATGACACGAGATCGTAAAAGATTCCTTATGAAAAAAGCTGATCAGTTCAACTGTGCTAGCATTTCTTATTAAATGGCATAAACGACTGCCCATCCAGACTGGCTGTATTTCAGCAACACATGATATGATCTCTACATACAAAGTTTAATGTTGCTTTCGTAAACCATGTCACGTCCTGTGAATGAGTAGTTCTGGTTTCCTTCTCTCTGGTGCAACCGTCACTACTCCCAAACCTATCCTTCTCCTACTCCTGCCACAGTAGCCTTGCCCAGATCTCTGCAAACTCTCTTACTTGAAGAAGATCCCTGCTTCTTCAGCCCTTACCTCCTCTTTATGATCTCTGTCTCTCCCTGCTCCAGCTCCTTGCCCACCAGTGGCTCCCTCTCCATGCTGTCCACCAGCCCCATGGTTGCCTCCCCAGCAGCCTTCTCCTGATTTGAGTGGTTGCCAGGATGAAGCCCAGGATGGTGCACCTGGCTGGTGCCTCTGCTTTGCTCCTCAACTTTAGTGATGGTTTGTCCTTCTGTTTGGGTGTAAGATGCACCACACTAGTGAACTGGAGCTATCCGATTAGGATGCTCTATAATTACATGGTATTACTGACGTTGATATTATCTGATGGATTCTCATAGGCACTTCTCATTCAAATTCCTCCAGGGACTGGGGCTACATGAAATGCCACTATATAAGTCTTTGAAAGTCAGACTTTTAATTGTTTTTCCTGTTAAAGCGTGAGTCTATTAGATCCAGCGCTAGTTACTACAAAGGTGCTGATATCACTTGGCCTATGTTTAGCTTGAGTTTTTAGATTCCAACAGCTGAGTAAGAACTGGACACACAGAACTTAATTAGTTCTGTGTAGTTGTCTTTTGATCTGCCGTGCGTAACAAACAACTCTAGAAAACTCCGCTTACTCACTTAGCAAAACTCCTCACCTGCTATAGCTCCATGAATTTTATCACATCTGTGAAAACATATACCAGCTGATAATCTGTCTTGCTCTCACAGTGCATCTCCCATTCCACTGTGATTTGCTAAATCAGCACTCGGGACAACGCACAGGATCCAACCCAAGCAAGTTACACCAGGGCTCAGACTGACGTAATGGAAATCAAGATACTTATAAGATCACAGAATGTCACAGTAATCAATATATAGGTACTCAATAAATCATTCTGTCCACAGAAAGATAGAGAGTACTTTTAAAGGGTTTTTAAAACACAAACATACCTGTAAATGCCCTCCACAAGGATGATAATTTTCCTCCACGCTCTACGGCTTCGAGGCTGCCCATATACTATTGCATCCCTCAGCAACTTCTCAAGGCTCTGCATATCTTTATTTAAAAATAAGAAAAAGAAGGAAGGAAAAACATTAACAAAGATTTTTCTAAAGAACTTTCTATTTTCTACTGGCGACTACTTTTTCCTAAACAGAAAAAGGCAACATTAAAAAAATGTGTCCTGAAGATAAACTTCCTTTATTAGAAGGCAAAACTCAATGATTTATTTAATTTGCCTGAATGCAATCTAGTGACAAGGAAAGTTACAAAAAGCTTCCAATTATGCACCCTACCTGGGAAGCTTCTAGAAATTCTTGGCATATATTTTTATTTAAAGCAAAAGGGAAAGACTTTCCTCAAGTACTGAGGCTAACTGCCTGCTCTTCTCTGCATGGGTTGCTGATACTCATGTCTCAAGGCTTCTGAACAGTGAGTTTTTGCTTGCTTTCTAACATCACCACGGGCTCATTAATAACATGCACTGCTTCAGCAAAGGTTTGGATCAAGCTGCGTGAAGCACGGTAGGATGGCAGCAAGAGGAATCGTGTCCTCCTCAAGAAGGAAAGTGAGTGAAAGATTGCTGATGAAAGAAGGAGACGCAAGTGGATACAAGCATGTGGCATGGATACACTGATTTGGTGCCAAAATGCTTGGCACTGGTGAGACTTCGATACAAGGAGGCATGGAACAATGTTAGAAACTTAGCTGCTTTCTCAAGGGTTGAGTGTGAATAATCTAACAAAATTCTTGGAGGAAAACCACTGAAGTTTTGAAAAACACAGAAGAAGCAAGAGAAAACATCACAGGAATGAGGGTCAGAACAAACGTAACTCTCAAGACAGAGTTGAAATCTAACCAGCATTCTGCTGTCTGCACATGAATGAACTCTCTCCAAAATGAATTATTCTGGTACTTTTCAGGAATCTGGATCGACATTTCAAAAGGTTTTCAAAGAACATCTTACAGAGACTTGTAATAGCCCAAGGAACACTATGAATCAGCTCAAATGGTGAGTTGAGAAAAATCAATGGCATTTTTTCAGGGTATAACCTCAGTTTTTCAGCAACACATCTTCATGCAGTTATTATAAATTTCTAAAATAGTACAAAGCCAATCTTTAAAATACAATTGTCCCAACAGAAGGAAATACACCTTAGTTATATTATGTTGACGTATAGCTTGGTTTCCACCTGACTGGAGGCAGGCCATTTGCTCAGTAACTATCCATCACGAATAACCTGGGACCTGAGAGATGGCCAGGCTATGATGTGAACCTTTCCCCTCTGGTACCTCACCACTTGCTAGTACCATTTACTGATCTCGGTGAAAGATAAATTTCTCGGAAACACCTGTGCCCCTCTGCACTTTACTGTGCAATCTCTTGACCTAGGAAGAGCTTGCTGTAACTTGCAAAGCACAGCACATGCACCCTTATTTCACTGGTGCAATCATCTGCACAGCTCCAAGAGCTCCGCGATGGAAACGCTGTTATGAACAATGCAATGCAGGCAGCACAGTTTCCACTAGATGGCGACCAAGGAAATAAAAGTTCCTTGGTGATTTAACAGGGGAATTTATAACCCAGCTGAGCATTTGCAGCACATGCGTGTTTCATGTAAGAGCGCTGCTCACCTTCTCTTCTGTTTTCAGTAGATAATATTCATAAATCTTTTTGAGTTCTGAGAATTAAAGGACTCCACAAGATAACAGAAAGCTCACTCAGTTACTCAAAGTAAAATTTGTCGCCCCCTTTTCTCCACTGAATTATTTCTCTACTGAGGTCATTGTCATCTAAATCCTTTTGGGACCTTTGAAACCCTCCTTTGAATCACACAAGGTCTTTCAGTAAGGTCTACGTGTCAGTCCAGATTGGTTCTAGACTTCAGGAAAGTCAGTTCGCTCAGCCCTCTGAGCCAAAAACATGGCTTGAAGATTCAGTTGTTTTAACATACATACACATGAAAAGAAAGAAAGGAAAGAGAAGCGGATAGAGAGAAGTGAAAAGTATATAGCTCTGTTTAATAGAGCTGTTTAAGAAATACATGGATGTGAATAGCTCCTCTGTCCAAACTAGTGTGGAACATGAGACTGAAGATAAGGAAGAACCTCTCAAAGGGATAAGCTTTCCTGACTTTAAACTTGACATAGTCCTGCAGGAGTACAGGCTAAGGACATGTCTGTTTGCAGGATCAGGCCTATGTCACTTTGGTTTTGATGTCTCATTCTGAAAAACGTGTGCATGTGACCCTTTCTTAGGCCTGCAACAGTCAAAACATAATTTTTTTAGGTGAAAATGAATTTTACTGACCTTTTTACTCTGTGCTGGTAGTGCCTCATTTGGAAAGGGGAAATTAGGAGGAAGAGAAAAATCTGTTACCTTTCATCTTCCTCTCAAAAATCTGCTTCTGTTGCTCAAAGTGAAGATACAGTGCTCTCTATGTGCTTGTGCTTAGACTTTCCAGAAAGTGGGATATACTGAGCTACAATGCAACCTCAAGTGACTTTCAGATATCAAATTATTTGCCCATTAAATACAGTTAGACTGTGAAACACTGGGGCATTGAGATGATTGAGTTACACGAGTCCATCTTGAATAACCAGTTATGGAGCAAATAACTGTCCTTCCTCATTTGAACATCACCAGCCCAGGCTTTTCAGCGGTGAAGACTAACAACTTTTCACCAGCCCAGGAGGTGTTAAGAATTTCACTTGATTAATTAGTCAAAGCACAACCAAATCTGTCTTTGTCTCAGTTTCCCCTTTCTCTCTATGGCATATTGTCTAGATATGGAGGATAGAGTTTTCTAAGTGAGGACAGTGGATCACTTTGTTTTTTTAGAATTTAATATAGACTTGCATAATCCTTATTTGGGATCCTTCAAAGTTACATCAATGGAAATACCAGCAATAGAGACTGTCAGTGGGTCGAAGCAAGTCTGGACCTAGACAGGCAGCCATGTGTCATGCTGCCTCCAGTGCAGGTGGGACTCCAGGCTCCTGAAGGGGTCCCTGCCCTCTCCCAGACAGGCTCAGCACCTCCTCGCAGGGAGACACGGTGTCTCCACCCATCATCCTTACATTGCAATGCTGGAGATGTCATCACCATTCCTCTGCGTGGGCTGGAAATCTCCTGCGTGATGTCAGCTGAATCCTTTTTAATTAAAATAAACAGGCTACTACTACCCTTATCACATTTTTCTTTCCTTCACCTTGCGTTTGCCACTCTCATTTTCAGTTTCTCCCATTTTGCAATCTCATGCAAGTTCCTGCAGACTTTGTGGCTACCTGTCCCTTCTCAGCCTCCTGTGGAACCACCTCTCCCCTGCTGCGTTGCACCTGCTGCAGCACGTGCCACCTCCTCCTCTCTTGCTTTCCCCACCACTGGTACCTTTCCTGGTCACTGTCCTTTTGTGGGTGACTCGAGCGGCTAGCTCCAAGGCTGTCCCTCCTTGCAGATCCCTAAAGGAACAAAGGGAAACTACCACAAGGGTTTTGTTGATCTAAACAGTAACTGTAGAACTGTAGAAGGTGGTTTTCATTCTAGTGAAGACGTCTTTGAAAAGTCCCTGACTGCTGGCACAGCTCTGAACAGCAAAAGCATCTTTAGAATCATTTCCCTGAAGTCACAGCTTTGAATATCTTCATTTGGAATGGGGAAGGTGGGAGTGGTGATTACTGCAGCCAGAAACAGCCTGAGACCCACCTGCCTGCCCCTCAATAAATACGTATCTCCGTGAAAGTAAAGAGCACTCACTCAGGAGAGCTTCCTATCGACACTTGGCAAGTCAGACGTGGCTTTCTCAAATCAGAGAGGGCAAACGCAGACACAGCATGCTTGGAGCAGGATATACCAGTCTCCTCTCTGTGGCAGCGTCTGTATGTGTCACAGGGAAATACACACCAAACTGGATTAGGCTGCGGTTCACCTATCTGGTGCAATGATCTTGTCTCTGATAGTGGCCAGAGGCTTCAAGGAGGACAAAACCTTAGTGGGTAACGTGCCTTTCAACCTGCTCTGCAATAGTTATAACACTGTCCTTCCTTCTTAAATTCAGGGGCTGCTTACACCTTTGGAAAAAAAAAAAAGAAAAAAGAAAGAAGCCATCTTGTACTAAGCAACTGCAAACTCTGGGTTTTGCAGCCAAAGAGATTTTTCGCTAATTTTTACCTGTGCGTTTCTCTCTTTTGTTTCCTCCCTATTTTATTTGCTTGCTTGCTTAAAGACATGCATTTATAGTTTTACACTTTTTTTCTCTTTTTTCCTTCTTTTCTGCTAGCGAATACATTTGCACTGAAAGGTGCCTTCTGCTGTCTAAAGTTCTTCCAGTGTTAACTACAACTCTTCCAGGTGGCTGTGTTTTCTCTTTAAGGTGTCCTCATGGCACACGTATCTGAACTCCAAAGCATTAATTTGACTGAGTAGACTGAGAAATGCCAGAATAGAATTAACATAAATTCACAACTCTTGTCCAAGTAGGAAACTACATTTTGTATGGAAACCTGAACAGCTCACACCCGCATGACACTTCTGTCATCAACCACCTGATTTGTGAGAACCTAAAAAACCCCTTACTACTTTCACAATACTCTGAAAAGGTGCGTAAGGAGGAGCTAGGAATGTGCTACTGTGATCTTCATTTCAGATGTGGACTCAAGCACCAGATTAGAGGCCAGATTTTCATCTAACCAAGGTGCTTGGTTCTGCCTTGCTGTTGCCTGCCTTCCTTTTAGCATCACTTGTTCTGACTGTGTGTTGAAGTGCCCTTGCGATGAAGAGAACTGGAAATTTTTCTTCCACATTGGCCTGATTTCTGTGCGTAGTCACGACATTCCCACAGACTGCTCGTGACTGCATTTGAGCTGCTTGATGCCATATGTGAAAAATGTAGTTGAACTAGGAAGAATAAAAATATCCTAAACCTTGTACAGCACCTTCTTATACGGGCTGATATGAACAGAATTCAGTTGGATGTAGTCAGTCAGTAACACACTCATCTGTCCACTGAATGAACAAAGACAGCCTCTCACCTGATGCCAGTGTAAGACCCAGAATTGCCGTGACAGAAAACCCTTGATAAAATCACAAGCTGATTAATGGTTAGCTACTTGGTTTTGCTTTTCAAGTTTTATTGGAAGGGTCAAGGGATTTTGTGCATTTCTCTCAGCCCAGGTATGTAAATTCCTGTCTGTTTACAAGGAAGGGATTGTTCACTGGGAGGCAAGGATGCAGGGCACGTTCCTGTCTCCAAATAAAAATGGACTTACAGGTCCACGGCACATTTTTGTTCTATTATTCACTTTCAGGCTTGAAAACCTTCTCATATGCCCGTGCAATGTTTTTATCAAAAAGGAGAAACATCCAGATGACTTTTACTTTACTTAGGAGAAGCATAGAGGTCTAACAATTTTGTCTGTTCTAGAAAAACTATTCAGATTTTTTGTGAAAAGTGTAATGCCTAGGACAGCTACCCACTTACTGAAACAGTATTTCATTAACTTTCCTAAGAACAAGACTTTTATTATACATAATTAAGTCAATAGGTAGAGATTACTTCTTGGCTTATTAATGAAATAAGCATAATTATTTACTTTTGAGTAATGACAAATAGATCTAGTATTACAGATTATATGCTTTGAAATAAAGTAACACAGTTTTACAGAATTAGCTACAGCATAGACTTTGAAAGATAAATGTACTGCAGTAGCAGGTTGAAAATGCCAGGTGTTACTCTCTTTTCTGTGAAATATTTTTATCATAGAACAAAGTTTCCTACAATTTTTCTTTTAAAAATAGTTTTTTCATAACAGGAGGGAGAAAGGAAGAGGGCAGATATATTTACAATGCTAAGCTTGTTAGAAAGGGAGGTTACTAGCACACACCTGTCGTGGTTTTTGTATAATATTCAGGAAGCAGCAGGTTCAGAAAATATAACATTGCTTCGCTAAACGTTACATAATTATTCCTCCTCATTTTGATAACCATTTATACCTGCAACAAACATTCACACCTCGTCCTCTTCCCAGTGTCTCTTCTACACCTGCGCAACCAAGGAAGTTGGAGCCAAAGTAAACATGTTCTAGGCAGTTCTATCAAGAGTATTACACAGCATTTCAAAAGAGGCTGATGTAAGCAACAAGGAGCATGGAAAAAAGTCTCCTTTCTCAAGTTGCATCCTAACAGTAAAAAAGGTAACTTCAAAATCTGCTGCCTGATTTGAATTTATTTTGATCCTCCAGCACAGAAAGCATGTCTCGGGCACTAGTGGTGGTACCACCTCTCCTATTGCCTTTAGCGTAGGGCAATACTGGGTCAAACAGTGTCTGTGTGTAACTTGGCAGAGCTCCAAAGGAGATGAGCCAACTCACGCCAGAACACAACTTGGCTCTGTACACACAAGTAAGAATGAAATGCACATTAATCCCAATTCCTCTTTGGGGCAGGACTCTCTATTCTTTGTTTTGCACCTTGCTGGAGAATTGTTCCAACTGCTCACCAAAGGACCTTAGCCAAGTCTTGGACACAGTAACATCCTCTGGTTGATGCCCGGGGCCAAGCTCTTTAAAGGATCATTGATTTCCTTATCTGAAATGACATACATCATTGTCCTTGGAAAGAAGAGGCGGAGGGTATTGCCTTTTACGACTAGAATACAGAGGAGGATTTAAAAAAGTAAGATAAAACACATTCCTATCTGATGCTGAAATTAATGCTTACGAGAGATCTTTAAGTGGTAACTCAAGGTGCAAAGGGCCAATACAACATAAGGAACCTTTCTCTTGCATCCAGCAATATGACATTGACAATGGCTTAATTCCCTCGTTCATAAGCATGACAATGACAGCACTGACACACTCCGACAATCCGGGCACGCGAGTGCATGCCTGTATATATGTTATATATCCACACACAAGCAGGATGGAGAATCTGGGAGCATAAGCAACACAGCTCTGATCTAACAAAACAAACGAGCACCTGCCTAACCGAAAAGAACTCTCCCAACATAAGCTGGAAGTTTTGGTCATGTGTGTCCTTAATTAATTTCCTGTGCTGACTTGTATTACACTACTCCCTGACAGATCCACAGAGAACAAGGCTAGACTGTCTACTTCGTTTTGGGTGAAACTGCCTCCTACAAAGGCAGTCCTGCTGGGTTATGCTTTCCACGGCTGTCCTCTCCCAATATACATCCTATTTTTTCCAAAGCAAAAGGCACATGCATATATTTCTGCATGCGTGATTTTAAAAGCTTTTGGCGATGTGCAACTCAAGGGTATGATTAAGGAAATATTCAAAAGAAAGACTTTTTCTAACCATGGAACTAATATACTGAGAGACTCACAGTGAGCCGTGAGATAGCACCAATGTATGAAGCTTCTTCACCTGAAGCTTCTCTAAACACAACTTAGGTTAAGACTCAAGGCCTACAAAGTTGTGATGACAAAAGCTGATGCTCAGATTCCAAACAGTATTTGCATAAGTTTCCACAGTTTCATTTTGAAAATAAGTTAAGGTGATGTCTCAGAAACGGTGTGCAAGACTGACTTTGGCATATCAGATCCCCAACCCAGAAAGCAATGAGTTTTTCCAAAGCAACCTGGATGGGCTTCCACTGATGTTTGCCGACGCCCTTAAAGAAACTGTCTACACTTTCCAGTGCTGGATTAGTGCTTTTTGTACAGGTCACTATTATTTTTAGGTTCACACATTATTCAAAAGAACATCAGCTTTAATTTACCATAACCACAAGCAGAGGCTGGTATAAGACTCTTGGGAGCAGAATGAAATACTGGAGGATGGTTAGAGATCGAACTCCTTAAAGTGAGAATGGCAGCTCCAAGTGATGTCTTCACTGCTTCCCTAGCATTTGAGAGTAATACACTTCTCAAACTGGAATGTTCTTTGAAATGCTGCGGGAAGCGACACAAGCCAGCTGGGCTGCACACAGCATAGATGGGTGGAGAGGCTGAGAACATTTGGATTTAGGTAGCAAGAGGTCATCCTGCAAGCCGTGATGCAAACCTAAGTTTGAATGGGATCAGGCACTGAACAAACAAAGCAAGAGCTGAGAATAGACTGGTATAGCAACCAACCATGCCTAGCACATCCACATCTGCGGAAGTGAAGCAGCTTGGGGCATGCTACAAGCTAATCTATGAATAATTACTTCTGTAAAAGCATTCAGGTTCAGATGATCTTCAGTTCTTGAATGATCTTCAGAAATTGCTTCTTGCTCAAATTATGAATAGATATTAATTATAACAACACCTTATATTATAATTATATGTTCTTTTCCATCCAACAGATCCTTAGGCCTTTACAGCACATGCATAATTCATATTTGCTCACCTCAGGGCTGAACACAACACTTAATAAAGAGAAGAGACTGTATTAGCTATTAACAAAGGTGATCAGATGTCTTTTCTCATTGCTCACCACTTCTCTAGCTTCTTAACCTCTGTTGCAATCATTGCCTGGTGCAGCAATGGGGATGGAAAAGGGAATTACAAAGAGGAATAAGGGAAAAAAACAAGCTCTTGTCATTAAAGCCAGTCACAATGTCTCTGACAGTAACCACAGCAATATTAACTAAATAAAACTTAAAAACCATGAGTATTTTAGAAGATAATTATATGATTGCAAAGTTAATGTGTGATTTCTATACTAAAATTATACTTCAAAGAATATTTGGGATGATGCTTTTGATATAACCATCTGCATCTTTGTTACAGCCCCCTGGGAATTCAGGGTAACCGTTTCAAAGTAATGCCACATTAATGTAACTCTAGATGTACTGAACCTGTTAGAAACAGAGGCAGGAAATACCAAGTATGTTCTAAGAAAGTTTGTACTATTTTGTCTATAGTGGCAATAACAGTAAAACCTTTATGACAGCACACAGTCATTCAGCATGTCAAAAAGACAGCAATGAGGTTAAGACTCCAAGTATTGAAATTCAGGTCCAACCTAATTACCCAAATTAGGCACAATAGCAATTACAGTATTAGACTATTAATTTTTCCCTCATCAGAAATCACTCATAATATTGAACAGTTAGCTCTTCTGCCTGGACAAAAGTGTTATCTTTGACAGCAAAGCAAGCATTGAAAGGAAGCATTCTTGCCTTTGATGTGCAAACAACTGTCTCTAAGTATTTTTAACTTCAATACTCACTATTATGCTTGAAGATTCTAATAGTAGCACCTGAAAGCCTCGCACCAAGAACGAGAGAAGTGTGGTTCAACTCATCACTTAAAATGAGGCAGCCCTGTGGAGAAGGAGTACAATAAGCATCTGCATGAACTGGGAGGCTGTTGACACGCGTGCATGTATGTGTCAGTGTACACGTGTGTCTATGATATAGCATTGCACCTACTGAGCTGCAAGTATTAAACATGAACTGGATTTTCTGCCACTTTTCTGAAGGTGCCAGGATGCACTGCAAAGGCAGGCAGAAACCATGGGAACAGATAGTCAGGCGTTCCCAGGTGGTGCAAAAGGGCCAAATATTTCCTGTAACTGGAAAGTAGTGAATAATCCTGGTAGAGATTGACTAGATTGATTGCTTTATAGTAAAATCAAATAGACTGTCTACAGTCTATTTTGTGTTGCAAGGAAAATGCAGGAGTAATACTGAGGCTGGACTGACACCAGCACTTTGGGGCGCAGCAAACAGATCAGGACAGATCAATGCCTCATAAATCCCACTTCCATTAAAACGTGAGTGAAGCCTAGGCAGCAGGCAGAGTCTTTCTCTAGTAAATGCATATACAGTTCACCAGTAGTATATTTTTCATTAATTATGTCAGTTGAAAACTCATTTTCTTTTTAGAAATCCAAATAGAAATTCAGGAGAAATAACTGTGTATGTTATATTAACAGAAGTCAGGATTCACAGTTGAAATTCAAGCTGCAACCCTAATTTAGCTTTCCATTAGACATCTCGTGCTGCAGTTCATTACCCAAAGGGCAATACAACATTAAGTAAATACTTATTTTGGAAACACAGATTATGCCCAGGTTGAGAGATACTCACACAAATCTGCCTAAAGACTGGTATGCAGAACTAACAGGAAGAGCATACATATCTTGTCAAGAAAATGTAGCTGCTAGGCTTAATTATGGAGGAAAATTTAGAAATAAATCTCACCAACATAGGGTAATCACATAGTTCTGTAATATATATTATACTACTATAAAATATTAATAAATAATAAGCTGTTATAGTTATATTCTATATTATACATATAGTAACATCTCTACTTATGCCACTTATATCTAAATATCCCACCTCTGACAGAGGCTTGAGTCTCCTCATGAGGCCAGCTAAGTGAGGGAAAACTATTTTATAGCTAAGCAAGGGACAAGTATCTTATGTCATGATGTATGCCTGAAATCTCACCAATTTACCTTTACTAATTCTCTGTATCTGTTCTCTTTGAAATTGCTGGACAAAAAAATATCCTAATCGTCATCACTCACCACAGACAGCTGGGCAATATCTCTGCAAGTAACCCACATACTTCATCCCACAACACCTGAGCCACGGGATGCAACATTTGCTTACTTTTTAGGGAGAAGCAACTTCATTGAGAGAAGCTAAGCAACCATATCACTCATCCTTAAACAGATGTTAGGTATGCATGATAGCAACACCCAGAGCTAGAAAAAATGATGAAGGGGCATATTTAAGGTCACAAGGTCATCAGCCTTATGACTCATGCATTCCTGATAGCAAGCTTTGTTCCTTGAACAAGCCTTTCCACTTAATGCATGCACAGAACACTACAGCAGTTGCTAAAACAACTAACAAATGGCTGTTCTATCTGTTCCTTAAGGAAGTACTCACCTTCCCAACAAGGGCTGGAATATTCATCGAGTTAGTTGCAAAGCCCATGCCAAACACCATAGCATCTTCCACGCCAAGGAACTTGGCCACAAGTTTCTCTAGTTCTAAATGTTTGTCTAGGGTGCCTGCAGAAAAAAGCACAGCGAATCTTAAATCTCATTAAACTGTGAAAGGTATGAAGTCTAAGGACACAAAACATATAAAAGAACAGGCTACAAGTGTGTCATTAAGCTATACGACAGTAAGTTCTAATGAAGATTTTCCATTTGTATCTTGTGCATGTGGGATGATGCAAGAAAAACTAAGGAATGCAAATCAGCTATAACTAATGCTAACAAATAGTGTTGTTGTTAAGGTAGCAAAGCAGTTGTTTTGGGAAATATTTTCTTTTTTTCCGTAACAACTTTGGACATAGTTTATTCTGAAGAGTAATTTTTTGCCTTTTTCTCCCTCTGCAATGTGGACAAAAATACCTCCTTTTTACAGGAAACGTAAGACAAACATCTCGGGCATTTTGGAGTTTTCTCTGGATGTGAGAGCAAAAAAAAAAAAAAGCAAAAACTGATGACAACAAAATTCTTCCATTTTTTCTCAGGTGCCTATGTATGTGTACAAAATCATTAATTATGATTTTATATGCACAAACAAAAGTGTTCTCCATCTTTTTTTTACTTGGGGAAGGTAAAAGCTATGCCACTCTTCATAACTGATGATAACTCTCCTCTTTCCTCCTTCTCAACAGTCAAACATAAATGATAAGGCAAGACTAGCGTGCCTTCTTTATCGTATATTACTTATCTAATAGTGTCTGGAGTCTCCAAACAAACAAGGTGCTCAAATTGTCCAACAAAAGCAGCATCTTTCCTGCCCTGCTCACTATGGAGGATGACAAAACACAAAAGGCAACAAACGAAAGAGTGGTGTTAAAGGATTGAGATAAGAAATAACTTTGAACAGTAATGAATCATCTCCACTTGCCAGCTCTCTAGTCTTTGGTTGCCTGGCTGTGCATTGCAGGTACCAAGGCAGAAGGAACTCTTACAGGATGATCTGTGGGGAAGAAAAGAGAGTGGCCTGTGGATTCTGACAGAGCATTTCCCCTACGAATAAGGCTGTAAGCAGGGAAGAGAAGAAAAACATTAAGGGAGTATCTCACCTTACTTGTGCTGCACAAATTGATGTCACAATAATATAGGCAAAGTGAATTGCAATTGATGGGAACAAGAAATCTGTGTTCACTGTGATAGACAGATGAACTGAGGAAAGCAGAAGCTTGGCTAGAGTGTCTCGACAAGAATGATGAGTCAGGAAGATGATCTTACCTTCATTATGAGAAAGCTCATTAAAAAAAAAGATAAAAATGGCAGCAGTACAGTTTCAGCAACAGCACTAACTCAGTTGGTTACAGTGAGATAATGTTTTCACTATTTCTTCTCTTTAAATATCCAAAGAAAGAATGGCATTCACTTGGAAACAGAATGTGAAAAATATCATGCAGGCACGTAACTCTCCCAGGAGATAAGGAGCAAGGATCACGTGGCTCGTGGAAAAACCTGGATTACATGGACAGCAAAGAACATCGGTGTTGTGATTTTGCACAGAGCCTGCTCAGGTTCTGCTAGACCTGAGCCAAGTCCAGCAGAGCTTCAAGAGTATCTCTACTCTCATTGTATCACATTGTGTGTACATTGAGCTGGGTTGTACCTGGCTCTGTGCTCTCATAAGTTAGGTAACATGACTCAGAAAATTTGGCTCTGCAGAACCTCCAGCAGACGTGAGCTGACTCTGCAGGAAGCTCTTTGAGGATGGTTACTATTCGTGTTTGTAGATCCTGAGATACACAAGGATATGTGCTGGCTCTGCACACACAGCTCCACGAAATACAAAACCACATAGTGTTTCAGAGTTGAGCTGCTCACCGGAGATGTGTGTGAGAATCCATGTCTTCATTTGTAAGCCCAGTAGGTCTCAGGGTGTATTTCTATGGTTAGTTCCATATTTTTTGCAATTTGGGTCCAGTTAATCTTCAAGCTGGTTACAGCACTCATAGCCAACTGAGGGTTCTAGCATGGTCAGCTGCCCTAGCGTTCCCTGCAGATGTTGTTTTGTTTCTTGAGCGCTATCAGCACACAAGGAGAAGATGAAGTCTGAAATGGAAGCTTGAAGCCAACCATACGATGGTCACAGCTTGAATTAGGAGGTTTGGTTGCGTGAGAAACAAGCAGGGTGTGCTTTGCAAGACAGGCATTTTAAGGCATGAGAAAATTGTCCCCGACTCTTCCAGGGGCTGGGGACACTGACTCTGACGCTACCGGGGTGGAGTTAAATTGCTTTTTGGGGTTGCATCATATGTTTTCTGTTTTTAAAAAACAAGAAAAGCCTGACTCACTACAGATTATTCTGTTCAAGCATCTATTAGATGAACCAGAAAGGAACAGCATATTTTTGACCTATTTTACTTCATTTTGTGATGGTGAAGAATGGGACATTCTGAACGCGACCAATTCCTGCTTATTATGTATTAATCCTAACAGTGAATGCAGATGAAATTGTGTATTTCTATTGCCTGAAAATCCTGGAATATCAATTGGAATCAACAGAGGTTTGCTTTGCAAAACCAAAACCTGAACGACAAGGATTTGCAAAATAAGCCCTAGGTATGAATTACTTTAATTATAATTGCAATATTGTAGGTGGTAGGTGAGGTGTTGCAGAAGCAATACAATACAAATCAGTACGGACAGTGGGAGGTTTGTGACAGCGATATATATTGAATAGAGCTGATAAAGCATATTAGCTTGCATTCTCCCAGGTTTAAAGTAAAAAGGGTATTTAGTTAATAAAGTATGCTATGATTTAATCAGATCAGAAGATTTCTCCAGTATCACTTCTGGAGAAATTATATCACTTCTCTCCACTGGAGGAAAACTAGGGGTCAGATAAGCTCTACTGGAACAATACTTCTCCACTAGCATTCCTGGCTGGTCACAGCAGCCACTCCAACAAGCATAAACAGCACTAGCAGACATGCAAATTTGATCCAAAGGAACTTCCACTGGCACAAGCTGCTACATCTCAAGCTACGTAAGAAAGGCAATAATTACACTGGTCTTCATTAAATACCACCTTAGCAGTGTCAAGTCAGGTTATCATGGCCCTTAAATTGTCTTGTATTGTGCTGGATTCAGACCAGCGTCACCATCTGGTGAATGAAAAGTGATATACTAGATATCTTTATACACTGTATAAACAGATACTTTCTATACTTGTCCTGTATACAGACATTAGAATTTTTCCCCATACTTTACCTGCTCTGGTTTTTATGCTGACGATAGCTTGGTTTGACCTGGGAAACAAGGATATAACTAAATAATGTACGCCATCTTACCAGGAAAGATTTAAGACAAAAAGGAAAAGAGAAAGCTACCTCCATCTTTAAGATCAAAAGTGGAATACTTTCTTTTCAAAGTTATTCCTCCCTCCTGAACAGTTGCATGTGACAGCGTACAGCAGGTGTTACTGTGTTTCAAGACTATATAGGTGCTATGGAAAATAAAATCGAAGATCTTATCAAAAGTGGACTTTCACAATGTTAGCCACCTCCACAGATTCCTACACTTTTCAAAGCAAATCCTCTCCTTTTCAAAATCTGATGAGCCAGTTCCCTCCATTAACTTGTCACTGCACTCTGGGACAGGGAACATGAAATACACTGTCCTTTGTTAGGCTTTCATAGGCTTACCCATGCTCTTGGGTTGAAAGTCACTGTCGGTCTATTAGACAGATAAAGCTTGGAAATGCAGCTCCCATGATCCAGTTCATTATTTATCTTTGACACTTTCAGCTTGGACAAGGTGGTTTATGCCACTGGTTAGTCTGCCCAATACAGTCTTTCAGGTTCTTATGTGCTAATGACATGCACTGGTTAAACTGTCAACCCTGGCAACAATATCCTTTAATGGAAATTTTCTTTTGGAACTCCAAGACCCAAAGAAGACAAGAAAATAGAATCATAGAATCAAAAATGCCTGCTGGCTTCACGTTAAACAAAAGCTGGAGGAGTAAAATGATATAAGCAACAAGTCATTGAAAGAAAAAGAACAGACTCCCATAAAAGCCACGTATGAACAGCAACTGGGAATCCTATGGATCACTGATGTGACTCACCAAGGTGAATAAGAACCATTACTCTATGAAAATGACGGTTTGTCACAGGTATCCTTAGGAGGGCGGAGAACAGAACAAAACACTTAAACTTCCCTGCCACATTTGAAACTTAAGGTCACAAACTCATTCTACTAAGGTATTTGTTGGAGATAAAAGAATAATATTACTGAAACATATATACGCTTTTACAAAAGCAAGATTGAATGAGTTATTAAGAGAAGGATGAAGAAGCAGAAAATGTAGAAAGTGTATTATTTATTTACACCTTTCTACAAGAGTGGATGGTAGAGATAGCATCACTGTCCGACAGAGCCCACTACAAGAGCAAAGCCTAAACTTGTAGAATGATACTTATGGGCAAGAGAGAGGGAGGGAAGCACACAATAATGTTATGTAGCTCCTCGTTTAACACTGTATGTGCATAAAAGAGCCCAAAATAAGTGAGTTTTGAGGAAGCATTTGGAAAAAAAAAAGAAATGTTCAAGCTTTCTTAATGTTGCTACCAGCTGATAGGGCTTTCATATCACAAAGATGCTGAGGATGTCATAGATACAATAACGTACCTGTTTAATTTACTGATTCTCAAAAAAGAGTACATTCATTTTAACAAAACTTCCAGTTTAATTTAGAACTTCCAGTTTTTTTTGGTTTTTTTTTTTCCTTTATAAAAACACAACGCTAAAATTTACAGTTGAAGTCCAGTCCCTTCATGCCAAAGCCTGGAAGGCAGTACCTTCAGTGTCCAAATATTTCCATGCACATAGATAACATTATATATTGGAGATATTTTGGGTTTTCAGCAGGTCACACAACCCTTAGTTACTCCTGATGCCTTCAGTTCCACCTGCCAGAAGACGGACTGTCCAGAGCTTAATCATGCTTTGCAAAGCATACTTTTGCAATGGTGAAATACCAGGAACAAACTTGACCTTTTGATCATAACTTGGATCAGTTATTT